ATAAGGTACATCTCCTCTATCCCCACCCCCACCTCAAAAAGCCGACTCATGGAGGGTTCTGTGGCGGGATAGGTTAGACCCCAACTCCTTGCAGCCGGACAGCCCACATTCACAACACCTGTAACAGGGCTTTTTGAGGTCATCTTTTACCACCCCTTAATTTTGACTGAAAAGCCCCATCTGGATACAGAAAAGCTGTTAAGGCCTTCTATAGATTTGCAGAACCTGGATGGCCTTCTTTGTGTCGTTCCTTACCAACCAACTCGGGAGGTTGAGATCCATTAATCTCCTGGAGATGACGGAACCCTTGTTGATGGAGGTCAGGCCCAGCCTTCAGCTTCATGGTCCCCTCCCTTCCCCAAGCCTCACCCCCGCCCCCAGTCAAAAGATACAGAGCCTTAGGAGCTAGCTCCCCTGTGTCTTCTGCAGGGCTAACAATGAATAAACTGGTCCCTTCCTACTGGGATAGGATATTGATGGGGGCGGGGTGGGGGGGAAAAAATCACTTGTGAAACTTGCCCTGTACACTGCTCATTAGCACACGAGGGCACACGTGTTTAGATCAAGCAAAGATCAAAACCCATACTAGAGGGCACGTTCCCACTGATCCCAATGTGATCAGATAATAGAGGTGTCAACCAGGGATCCGAGAACCACCAGACCACCACCAACCCTCCTGGGATCACCAGATTGAGGGCAGCCCCTCCCCAAGCTTCCTTTGAAAGAGCCCGAATTCTCCCTGGAATGTGGGCTCCTTGCTCTTCTAAATAAATCTGTGCCTCAATATCTGACATGTGCTCAAGTTCTTTTCCATCATGTACCACGAGGGCCCCCCCCCCAGGACCTTGTCATACCCCCTCTGGTGACACTACCAATGCTCGTCTTTCTTGGTGCTCAAGCGTTGGGCATCCTGGACGTTTGCTTCCGGTAATACTCCAACTGCAGGACAAAGGACTAAGTTTCTGGCCTGGGCTTTGCCAGAGACTCACCAAGTCCAGTTTTTGGTCAGGAGTGACGTGAACCGGAGAAGCTGGGAAACCAACCCCCAAATCATGGCCAAGTGGCAGTTGAGCTGGAGAAGTCATATCCCCCCAGAGGGGGCAGGTGTGCTAGAAGGCAGGGGAGGGGGTGCTTAGGTTCCCCCGGGTGCCTTCCAACGGGCCACATAGGGTAAGCAGGCTCAGATTTTGGTACCTTTGCATGGCTGGGTTCAGGCCTTTCCGAAACTCCAGCCCTTTATTATCTTTCCTAAGCCTAAGATCACGTTGATGTCACAGAGTCCAAGTCAAAATCCAAGATAACCAATGTCGGAGCTTGAGGTCTACGGTAAGAGCCAGGGCCTGACAACAGGTGGCAGGAGAGTCAAAGAAGTCCCTGCAGCCCCAGTCGCAGGTTAATTCCAAGAAGGGTCGGCTTGATGTCCGCTCAGGATTCCTGGGTCCTGCTACCCACAGCCTTGCCCCAGTGAACTTTGTGAGCTACTGGCCTCTCAGCTCACCTTAAGGCCAGGCCCAGCCAGTCAGGCCCACCCACAGTGGAAGCACCATCCTTTCTAGGCCTTTCTTCATACACATTCCACTTCCCTGCTCTTGCTCCTGCACTGCCCAGCCTAGTCCTCCCATGCTCTCTTTACAGTTCCTCTGCTTGTAGGGAGCTGAGCCAGCTCCAGGGCTCAGCCTATGTCCTGCCTGAAGCATTCCCAGCCACAGCCACCCTCCCCTTCTGAGCAACCTGTACCATGGGCATACGGTCCCGACGCACTCTGGGAGGACCCGTCTCCTCATCAGCTGGGCTCAAATCCTGGGCGACTTGAGGCTAGTGAGATCACCTGGGGAGGCTCATCTGTAATACCACCCACCTCATAAGGTAGAGCCAACATACACGCAGCACCTCAACACTGCCTGGCACAGTCAGCCCTAAATGAATGTCAGCTATTATAACCAGCCTTCCATACCTATGGAGCCCACGTCTGCAATTTCCATATTTATGGGTGGAAAATATATATGTATTTTGGGGGAGGTACCAGGAATTGAACTCCAGGGCACTCAACCACTGAGCCGCATGCCCAGCCTTATTTTGTACTTTATTTAGAGACAGGGTCTCACCGAGTTGCTTAGTGCCTCGCCTTTGCTGAGGCTGGCTCTGAACTTGCCATCTTCCTGTCTCAGCCCCTGGAACCACCGGGATTACAGGCGTGCACCACCTCGCCCAGGTGAAAATATTTAATTGCACGTGTACCGAGCATTTTCCCCTTATACCCCAAATACAGCATAACAACCATTTATACAGCATTTATGTTGTACTAGGTATAAGTAATCTAGAGATGATTTAAAGTGTATGGGAATGTTGCATGGGTTACATGCCCATACTATGTAAAGAATATTAGCATCCAAGGGTTTGGGTATGTGCTAGAACCCATTGCCTGTGGATATCAAGGGATACCATTTTCTTTTTCTTAACTCGATTCCTCAAAAGGAAGAAAGAGGAGACTAACTTTAATCTGAAAGCCTTGTGCTGCAGTTCCTCATGCCTTTATCCCAAGCCTGTCCCTCACAAACTCTTGCAAAATCTATACATCTTAAAGTTACTATAGATTCACTCAATGAAAGTCACCCAGCGCCCTGTTAATTAGCCTATGCAATGTACTAGCATGTTCTTACAATAAACAAAGGGAGAAATGATAGTTTAAGAATCCTGTGGTGTAGGGTACATTCCCAGCACTATCTACTGCTGGGAGAGAGGAGGTAAGGTTGACCTAAATGTCCTCAGAGCAGACCCGAGACACCACCCTCACATACCTCCTACATCCTCCCCCACAAAGTTTCCTTTAAAAGAAGAGCCCGAGACCCCCAAAGTGCCGCTTTTCCTCCCTGAATTCTGCTCCAAGAATGTGTATCCTCACATTTCACTCTCTCCTCTCCTTGTCCATACCCCCGCCAGTCTCCTTACCTGGCCATGTCTGCTGCCTCCGCCACGTCCTCCAGCTGAAGCTCCTTGACTGCTCCAAGGAGGCCAGGCACACCTCCTAATATACCCGTTTCTTCCTCGGGCTACACAGTGGAGTCACCTGGTGAGCCTTAATAAGATCCCATTGCCCACCCCCAATCACAGCCAACCCAATCAGAATCATGGGGTGGGTGATTTTAAAACTCCGCCAGGTGATGCTAATATGCTGCCAGAGTTGAAGAACTTTACTTGCTCATTCTGGAGGCTTCTTCTGCCATAAGGATAGGGAGCAAATCTGTTTTGCTCACTATTGTGAGCTCAGCACCTACCACTCACCAGGCATCTGTTAGCACCAAGAAATGTCGGCTTAGTGGATGGAGAGGGACCCACTCTTGGCTCACCAGGCGCTCCACTCCCTGGCCCAGCTGCAGCCTCCCCCCCATTATTTGCCCCGTTCCCCCGTACCTCCCGTCCCCCCCCCAAACACACACCCTCATCCACCCACCTTCCACCCACAGCATCCTGAAGGGCTCTGCTTTGTGTCCAGCCACCGTTTTCTTAACATTCTCTAGCCCCTCAGGGTTCTGTCAAAAGGCTCCTGCCTCAGGGAATCTCCCTGATCCCCAACTGGGATACATCCCCTTCCCCCAGCTCCCAAAGCCCCCCAGACTTTCCCCTGGGTGCTGCACATCGTCCTGGAAATCAGCTGTGTCTCTCTCCTCCTGCAGGAGCTTGGAGACTCCCAGAGCACGAGGGCTTGCCTGCACCATCCCCAGTGCCTGCCACATACAGGGTGCTCAGTCAATGATGGTTGGTTGAGTGATTTCTATTCTCAGATGTTTTCACCCATTCAGGGCCCAGCTGCTACCCTTAAAGGCTTTCTAATCCAGAGCTGATGGGACCTGACTTTGAGACTCCTTTGCTGAAACCTCCAGGGGGCGCAGGAATGACATCACTCATGAGGACTGTCAGACATTCTCTAAGGTGGGTGGGTGGGAAGCGCACCTGTGTGCGGGTGCAGCCTGCACACACAACATCACTTGACCCCTTCTCTCTTCACAAGGGCAGAGGCAATCCCCCCGCCCCACCCTCCCTCACTGGGTGTTGTGGGTTGCGGCTCCCCTCACCAGTATGTGGAAATCCTAAATCCTAGGACCTGGCCTTATTTGGAAATAGTCTTTGCAGATATAATTGTTAGGATGAGGCTCACTGGATTATTCATTTGAAATTAAAATTTAAATTATTTCAAATTAATTTATTGGGCAATCCTGAATTTTTATTTGTCAAGTCTGGAGACCCCAGTTGGGAAGAAAAAGAAAAGTGCTTTTGCAGGAAGGAGGGAATACAGGTCTAGGGGAACTCGCAAGTCCTACAGTTGGGGGATGGCTACCTGTGGCCCAGGAAGCAGTGCTAACCCATAAGTGGGAACTGTCTGACCCCCAGGAGGACCCATGGCATGGGCCTGCATTGGAGATGGAGGGCCCAAGCCAGCATAGTGGCCCTGGGGGAACCTGTGAATCCCATAATAATAAGAGGAAGTGGGAAACAGGGAGAGGCAGAAATCTGGAGGTGTCGATGACCCAATCCAGGGCCACCTTGACACCCCAGGGCTTGTCAGAGGCCCATACTGGAAAGTATGTATTGAAGACAACATTTTTAAACATCACACCTGGAATGGTGGTGTTGCAGGGGCTTCTGGGACCCACATCTGGGACAGCAGGCTAGAATGAGTGACTGGAGAGTCAAGGGACAGCACCAGCCACTCCAAAAGTCCCACACCAGGTGGGGCTTGATCTTCCCGAGGCCTTGGATCTGGAATGTTCCCCCCAAACGTGGGCCTCATTGGGAGAAGCAGGTATTGGAGGCACACCCCCGAAGGGTATATCTTGTCCTTCACCCTTCTCAACAGAGCCAAGTGACCATGGACTGAAACCTCTGAAACTGTGAGCCAAAATAAATCTTTCCTGCTCTCAGGTAATTTTCCTCAGGTGTTTTGTCACAGTGGTGAAAACTGAAACACCCTCCCCACCAACACCACAGAAACTCTCAGCAAGTCAGGCAAGAAAAGCCACTGTTTATTTACACCTTGGTCTGTACATTACAGTTCCCGGGAAGGTGCCCACCGCTGAGATAGAGAGCAGCAGGAGGCGAGGAGCTCAGGACCTAGGACCCAGCCTTGGGGCCTCGCCCCACACCCTCCCTCTCTGGGGCCTGAAAGCAGAAGTCCCATCCCAGTCCTAAAGCTAAGGCCGTTTCCAGACCCGGACTCCTGAGGCAAACACCCAAGTGGAATCCCACAGAGTCAGAAGCCGTGAACCAAGCCCTGGAGCGTGAGGTCACCATGCAGTCTACTCTACCTGGTCTGCAAGAGACCCAGCCCCAGACGGGGGGGGAAAAAGCTGGGAGGAGGGGAGGCGACCAGGGGCTGAGAGTCCTCAGTGATGCCCTGTCCCATCCGGGTCCTGACACCAGTCTGGTATTTAATGGCACTCTGGTCTGAGCACCTTCGGCAGACTAGGAAGGGCTGGGCAGGTGTTAATACACAGGCAGGGACAGTAGCAAGCCTCTTCCTCTCCCCGGGGTCTGCAGCTGTCCTACACACTAGACACCGTGGCCCTACACCCAGGCCCACTGCTGGGTACAGGGAACCACACAGCCAGGGCTTCCTCCAGGAGCAGCAGGTATCTGCTGCAGACCTGCAAGACTCACGGCACCCCTGCTGGGGCCAGTGGCCCAGGTCCAAGTACCCGCATGCTCACAGCAAGAGAAGTCGCTTTACACGAAGTTGCCCTTACCTGGGATTCAGGTTTCTAACTAACCGCAGGCTGGGGGCGGGACTCAGTGCCCGGCCCCCAGTGCTTAAGACAATGACAAAATATTCTGTACAAAGTCACCGAGTCTACAAGGCAGGGTGAGGCCGGGGGAGCCGAGGGGGAGGCGGGCCTGGTCTTGGTGGGTCGTCAAAGTGCCTGGGAGCTCGGCCGTCCAGGGGGAGGCCCGAGGTTACAAAGTAGGATGCATGTGTCCACGTTTACAGGGCTGGGAAGGCAGCGACCACGAGAGTGTGTAGAAAAGGGGGCAGTGGGGACACAGGGAGAATCCCGTACAGTGGTGACAGGGAAGAAAAGGCACGAGGACAAAGACCCCAAACCATGCAGACAAAAACAGCCCGGGCAGCACAGCAAAGCAGGCGGTCCCAGCAGGATGCAGGGTGGCCCTGGGCACAGCAGCACTGAGACTGGCAGCAGAGGTGGCCTGGGATGCCCTCCCCAGCTGGTGTCTCTGGGGCAGACAGCCCTCCACTACAGTCACAACGGAGAGAGGAGGAGCATGCGGAACCCAGTGAGAACGGTGGCCTTGCCCTTCACCAGGGTCTTGCTCATAGACACAAACTCTTCTGGAAAGCTGGTAACCTCTCAGATGAGCAGCCAGAGGATGGCAGAGGGCCTTAGGACCGTCCCATCAGGCAGGTGGGGTGGGCCCGTGGGAGCCCTCCTCAGCTGCCCATCACAGGTACACGTGTCAGGACCTTGAGGTCCCTAAGATCAGAGCTCCAAGTCACCAGGTGAAGGTATGGCCCCTCTAACTTCAGACCCCTTGTGGGGCGGGCCTCCGTCCTAACAGCCTGAAGCACCAACCTACAGAGGAGACCTTGGGTCCCAAAGGGAGGGACGGGGAGGAGAGACCATGGGGGATGCTAGCATTGAATCCCTAAATGGCCCCTCTCTCCTCACTCAGCCCCCTACAGAGCCATCAGGGACCTACCAGGTGACCAAAGTCATTTCCTTGGCATGGTGACTACCCAATCCCATCCAGAGCCAGCTCTCACACACACCTGGAGCACACAGAGGGGACTGAATGCTCCCCACCTCACCAGGCCTCGCTGCAGGCTTTGGCAGGCTATAACGTCCCTCGCTGGGACAAAGGGCCCCCACCTGGGCCAGGAATCAGACTGGTCAGTGGACTAGCACCTGGAGCCTCCAAGGCCTGAGCCTGGGTCTGGTTTGGCTAACAATGGGAAGAGCCAGGCCTTCCCTCATCTGCCCGGTCAGAGCACAGACAAAGCCCACGAAGCCAGGGTCCCTCTAGCTCAGCTGTGTAAGCCCGTGGCTCTCAGGGAACAGCTCTCAGCCGACTCTGTTCTGCCCCCACCTAGTAAAGGGCCTGTGGTCAATACATTTCAACACGTGTCATCTCTGACTCAGGGGCAGAGACTGCTGCCCACCTAAGTGTACTCATCTCCAAGCTGCGGAGAACAGCTGGATCTACTGGTCCCGAGGCCATCTGGACTCCCATCCTGGGGCAAGGGCCACTTGACATCACCACAGGTAAAGCCACCATCCACCACCTCAGCAGAGGCCCTGGACCTGTCCTGGCTCAACAAGCCCAGAGGCCACTGCTACCGGTTTTCTCGACCTCTGGCCAACAAGCTTCTAGGACAAGGGGTCTCAGCCCTGAGCTACACACTGACATCACCTGAGGTCTTTAAACACGTAGGTACCACAATTCACAGTAGCCAAACTATGGAACCAGCCAAGGCGTCCACTAACAGATGAACAGATACATAAAATGGGGTATGTATACACAACAGTGTTTTACTCAGCCATAAATAAAAATAAAATTATGTCATTTGCAGGAAAATGGATGGAACCAGAGACCATTATGTTAAATGAAATAAGCCAAACTCAGGTCCAGGGTCATATGTTTTCTTCATATGTGGAAGCCAGAGAGGAAAAAGGAAAAGAAAGGTGTGGGGGAGGGGATCTCATGGAAACCAAATGGAGATCAGTAGATGAAAGGGACCAGGGGGTGGGCGGGATATTGGCCAAATCAAATAGTTATATGGTGTGCATGATGAATATGTAACAAGTTCTTTTAAAATCTAGGTGCCGGGGCCACAGCAATTCAGTCTGGACTTCTGGGGAGTCAGCCCACTGCTAGAAGCCTCCAGAGGACTGGAAGTTTCTGGTGCTTTGTGATTTTTATAGATCAGAAATAAAGTCAAGAAAAAGGAATTCCCCTCTGATGATTCTCAAATAGATCTACCAGTTTAAAATAAAACAATCCAGGTCTAACTCCAGCTACTTCAAAGTTAAAATTTAAAAAAGGAAAACATTAGCTAATTTTGTTTGGCTTCCAAATGATGGCAAGGACAGCTCAATGTTACATAAAATGTGAATCTTCTCCAGAACTACCCCGCCGCCCCCAAACAAAACCCTCTAAACTTTACATAGATTACTATTGATCTGTCCTATTGGTAGGCAAAAAACAACCCTCACCCCAAACTCCCATAAAACACCCAGTTAAATCAGATGCACCTGGGTACTCCCAAATTCAGAGGCTTGAGTCAGGGGTCAGGACCAATTAAACCAGAATGTCCAGAGATTGGTTTTGGGTTTGTTTGGTTTTGGGGTACTGGGGATTGAACCCAGGGCATCGCATGTGCTAGGCAAATGTCCTACCACTGTGCTATACCCCAGCCCTTTTGGGGATCAAAAAATTTTAAAGCTCATTTAAAGTATGTCTCAAGTATTAACTGGAACATATATATTCTAAAAGTGAAAAATTATTTGCTGTGTATCTGAAATTCATTTTTTTTTTGGTATCAAGGATTGAACCCAGGGGCACTCCACCACGGAGCCACATTCCTAGCCCTTTTTTGGATTTTATTTATTTTATTTTATCGGTCTTGCTGAGTTGCTGAGGGCCTCTCTAAGTTGCTGAGGCTGACTTTGAACTCATGATCCTCCTGCCTCAGCCTCCCAAACCTCTGGGATTACAGGTGTGACCACTGTGCCTAGCCTGAAGTTCAAATCTAACTGGGCACATGTTTACCACCTAGCAATACAACAAGAGACAGCTGGGGTAGAACTCCCAGCTGGAAAATGAGCGAGGGAGGCAGAAAACACAGCGGGAGCAGGGCTGTGGAGCTGGGGCATCGGCTCCCATCAGGCTAGCCTTCAGGATCAGAAGAGCATTTTAAAGACATCCATGATTTGGGAGGTGGGGTGTGGGGGGCGGCAGTAGGGATTGAATCCAGGCCCTTGCACAAGCCCTCTACCACTGAACTACATCTCCAGCCCCCAAACATATCTGATCTTAAAAAGCTGAGCTGACAAGAAATGCATCCTGGCCGAAGAAAGTAAGGAGGTTGGATTTAATGGAAGGTGTGTGTTACAGGGAATTCACTCCCTCATTTAAAAGTCCCTCTTCCAGAGGCCTCTCTGACACTGGCTCAGATCCAGAGGGTCTTTTAGACCTGGCTTTTTTTTTTTTTTTTTTTGGCCTCTCAGGAAACCCATGCCAATGGTGCCCCCTACAGGGAGAGGCGAGGAGAATGGAGCAGGCTGTCTTTTCCCACCCCCTCTTCCCCTGGCAGAAATTCCTTCATAGCGGCTCTAACTCTGGCTTCTGTGGCCTTCTCTGGAATCTGCACTAATGCAGCTAAAGAACATATGCAATTTTACTTATTAAATACTCACCCCCATGGACCAGGGCCCTGACTTGGCCGGCCTCAGTGGCACTTCTTGCAATAGAAAACCCAGGTCAATGCCATGTTGCAACTTGTCATTTGCCTCTGGTTGTGGCCATTCCTTGCTACTGGCAAATTCTCAAGAGACCCACTCCTCAGGCCGCCTTTCTCTGCCTGTGTCTTCTCAGACCCTTGGGGGAGCCTAGTATCCTGAGAACAGGGCCTTCTAGAGAAAATGCCCCAGCCAGTCTTCTGGGCATGGGTAATTCCAGAGTCCTGGGCAGAACCAGTGCAACCCCATTATTTGCAGCATGAGACCAAACTGCACATATTCAAAAGAAATCACAAAATCCAACAGAAGCAAAGTTGATTGGAATGGAACAAAGATCAGTCTTGGCTACAGCCCTGCCTCCAAACCTGGGGACACACCCAAGTCCCCCAGGTCCCCTCTTCATCCTCCGCTGCCCGCCTTCTCTGCATACACCCCTCTCTACCCTCCCCAACATGCCCGAACCTTCCTCTTCCCGCTAGATGTGCTGAAGAAAACAAGAAACTGCAGGGGAAGAAATAAGACCATACGTGTTTATATAGATTTGGGTCAAGGAAAGGAATCACAAGCTATAGAAAATTCAGACAGACTGGAAAACTCGAAGGAAAGGACCACATCTATTCCCTGCTGCCTAGAACAAGAGATCACATTAAAAATCCACGGTGGAAATTCCCACCATGTGTCCAAAGCACGGAAGACAAAGGTTTCCCTGCAACTTTCCCACCTGCATATCCCACCAGCGCAGTGTCTGTTCCCTTGGATGAAGACCAAAGAAGGGGGCTGCTCTAGCTCCCCAGGGGAGCCCAAGCTCGGATTCTGGAATCCATCCCGAGGCCTGCCCTCACCAGTCCTCACTAGTGACAAGCGACAGTCCGTCTGCACGGCTGCAGGCAGCCCTGCCCCTCTGGGAATCCTTTCTTTGGTTGCCCAACCTGTTTTGACACCCCCACCTCCTAAGCTGCTTCTTTCCTTTTGATTTCTTCATTTTATACCCAATGAATGGTGCTTCTATTTCATTGTCTTAAAAACAAAACCAAACCATAAAGGGGAGGTAGGTGAGCAGGCGGGGAGGGCAGGGAGAACGTCAAGATGCCAAGAACCCCAGCAATGAGGACGGCCTGTCTACAGCTCTGCAAACCCGAGTCCTCTGGACACCGTACACTGCCCCACAGAGGGCTGCCCAAGGGCTCCTCCACTGGGTCCCCCCAGACGCCCCTTCCTTCTCTTTGAGCTCAAATACCTGGGCTTGATGGCCAAAGAGGCTGGAAAGAGCAACCAAACTCCTGGAAAAGATCAGATTTTGCTCCTCGTCCCGGGAGGTGGGGCAGGGAGAGAAGAGCCTGTCTCCCTAGAGTATTTCTAATCCTTATCCCAGAGGTAGAATCATTTTATCCAGTAAGTGAAACATAATTGTCCAGTTCTCGTTATCGCAGGAACTCCCATGGCAGACCTTGTTCTCTCCGCTGCCAGTACCCTCTGCCCCTTGCAAAGGCGCCACAAAGTGCACACACAGCTCACTGCGCAGGTGTCACCAGCCACGGTCCCACGCTCAGCCCACATATACACCAGTACACGGTACGCATGTGGCCAGAGGTACATTTACAGTGTGAGTGTGGGCCCAGGCCCACATCCTGGGGCAGGGCCTGCCCCTTGGTCCCCAGGTCCTAAGGCCGCTCTGCAGCCAGCCCCCTCCTCAGTGCTTGATCTCCAGGATGGAGGGGTTGTGGTCCAGGATGGCCAGGATAATCTTGTCCATGTACTGCCTCAGCCGGAAGTTGATCTCCTCCTGTTCTTTTAGGGCCTCCATTAGCTGAAGGGAGTGGGAGAGACAGGTCAGAGGCTAGGCCTAGATGGGGGTGTGGCAGAGCCCAGATCCCCAGTCTTGCAGTGAGCTAGTGTCTGATGACTGAGGGACCCAGGAGGCCCTGGGCAAGGCAAGACCCCACACTAACACCAGCACCTGGAGGCCAGGACAAGGGTCTTAGGCAATGTAAGTGGTCTGTGGAGACACTGGGGGTGGGCAATTTTTTTTTTAAGGTTGACCACACTGGCCAAAGGCATTCATTCATTCATTCATTCATTCATTCATTCATTCATTCATTTATTTATTTATATTTGGGGTGTTGGAGATTGAACTCAGGGGCACTTGACCACTGAGCCACATCCTCAGCCCTATTTTGTATTTTATTTAGAGACAGGGTCTCGCTGAGTTGCTTAGGGCCTCGCTGTTGCTGAGGCTGGCTTTGAACTCAAGATCCTCCTGCCTCAGCCTCCCGAGCCATTGGGATTATAGGCGTGCGCCACCGTGCCCACTAAAGACATATATGATCAAGGCTGACATTCACAGTTCCAGGGCACCAAAGACTCCTGAGGCTGCCAGCCTTCCCACCCGAGTCCTGCCCTTGCCCTTCTCTGAGGAAATTCCTATTGTGTCCTTTAGGGTGCAGCCAAACTGTTGCCTCTGCCCTGGGGCTAGGGGTGCTGGTGACCAGTCGGGAGCTCCTTTGAGGCCAGAGGTTGACCATAAGCTCTGGGTCCCAGGAAGAGTGTAAGTTTCAGTGGCATGGGGTCTTAGGGTCATGTTAAAATGTGGCTAGGAGTTCTGGCATTTGTAGAAGAGTGGGCTTTGGTGCTAGACAGCAGGGTCCCTCTCCCACTGCAGCTGGGTGAGCCTGTGCCCTGGTCTCTTGGTCTATAATGGAGGTATTCATAAAGCCCCAGAGTTATCAGGGGAAATGAGAACATGCGCAAAAGCCGACGCTAAAGAAATGCCAGCTCCCTTGTCCTCCTGCCAAGGGCGGTGGAATCACAGCCTAACCTGGGTCTCCATGAAGACGCCACCCACTGGCCACTTCTCCGGCAGAACTCAGACTCATGCTCCACCCTGTCCTAAACCTGTGCTCCTTTCAGCAGAAACCAGAGCTGACTTGTTCCCCTGTGGCCACCTCCTACACAGCTGTGCCTGTCTTTTGGGGTAGTGGTAGATGGGGACACTGAGGGGCCAGGCCCTCCTCTGACTTTCAGGCCCTGGGCAGCCTGGGGCTCATGGTCCTGGAGGGGGAAGGGGAGGGGCCAAGGTCCAACCAAGAGCAAGGGGACAGTCTACCTCATCTCGAGATGCTGTGTCAATTTCTGCAGCCAAAGACTGGGCTTTGGTCTGGGTAGCAAAGAGGTTCTTTGCTTCATAGAGGCTGAGGCTCAGGATCTGTCCGTTCAAGTCGTCATTCTGATCCCGCAGCTTATGGTTCTCCTACAGAGACAGGTGAAGACAACATCAACTCTAAGAGGCCTCTGGAGTCTGCTGGAACCCTCTCTCTGTATCCACTATTTCCCTACAGCCACAGGCACCCTCCCTCAGCATGTGCTGTGGCCACTTCAGGAGGCCTGACGAGGATGCAGCCTTTGCCAGGCGTCAGGGTGGAGGACCAAATCCTGGTCTAGGGCCCGGAGTCCCTTTGAGATCATGGGGTTGGAGGGGGAGTTACTGCCCTGCCCAGAGGAGCCATGTTTCTTGGACAGGAGCATGCCTGGCCATTCCCTCCTCCCTGGGGCCCACTGGGAGCTCATCCTGCAACCTTGGCCCTTACTGAGGAGAGCCCTGCTCTGGGGTCTGGGTGAACAGGAGCTCTGGAATTCTGCTGAGTGGCAAGTGCTCTGGGCACCCATCCCTCCTGAAGGGGTCATCAGCTGACATCAGCCCTCTGTGCCAGCTCTGGCCTAAAGATGCTTTAAGGCTTGCACTTGAGACCCGGGAGCCCCTCCTGGATGGGAGAAGGGCTAGGCTTAGGAGCACTGCCAGGGCACAGGTGCCAGCTCCTCTGCCTCAGATGAAACAAACTCAAAGATTGACTTGAATCACAGACTCCCACCCACATGGTCAGGCTGAGCTTGGTGGACTTCAGTGGACATTACTCCCTTGTAGGGTCACTGCCCCTTCCTGATCCCACTCCCCCACCATAACTGACGTCCAATGAAGGGAGTGCTCCCAGGAGCACTGAAATGGAACCTCAGACTTGGTGTGTCCTGCTGGGAGAACCCAGCCCAGCCAGGCACTAAGCTGCAGCTGGACTGAGTCTCAGTCTCACCCCAAGCATCAAAGACAGGACAGTGATGTCGCTTTCTTTTTATAGGTGGAAAGATCCTGAGATCCGCCAGATGTAGCCAGAGCCCAGTCACTTGACCTGAGCCATGAGCCAGGTAGCCAGTCCTGACGGTCAGGTGGTGGAGAGGAGCAGGGGGGAGTGTGTGGGGCAGGAGGAAGGATTACCACCTTGGCTCTCTTGCCAGGGTCCCAGCGCAGGAAGCCCATGCGGCTGTCCTGGGCACCTCATCCTGCTGGACGGCAGCTCCCAGGGCCCACCTGCTTTAGCCGCTTGACCTCGTGCTCCAGCTCCACCTCGCGGGCCCTGGCACTGAACTCGCCCAGGCCGGAGGAGCCGCGGCCCCTGCCCTGCCGCTCACAGTCCAGCTTGTACATCTGCAGGTGCTCCAGCTCCTTGCGCAAGTCCTCGATGAGCTGCGGGGGAGAGGCTGGTTGGTGGTAAGGGGGACGCTGGGGGGAGCCCCGGGGCCCTCTGGCAGGGACCCACCTCCTGTGTCGCCTCCCGCTCCTTCTGGAACTCCAGGCGGTTCTGCCGCAGCTTGTCCATCATGCGTTTGTACAAGTCCATCTCGTCCTTGAGCCGCAGGCTGGTGTCCTCCAGCCGGTCGGACATGCGCTGCCGCTCCTGGAGCAAGGAGACCAGTCATGGGAAGGGAAGGGGGTGGCCAGAGTCGGGCACCTCTGACCCAAAGGCTTCTCTGAGCAAATGGAGAGCTGGCCCCGCCCCGTGGGACAGAGCCCTCCAAGTCATGGCTTAAAGAACAGGCAGGTCCCCTGTGATTCTAGAAACACAACTAAGAACACCTCAGGCCCAAGTCCTCCAGAGAAGCTGGGTAGAGCCCGTACAGACCACGTAGGCCCCAACAGAAGCTCTCTCACTCTTCAGACTATCATTCCTATCATATGGGGAATGTATACTCTATAATCACTGCAGAAAACACACGCCATTATTCACAGCCTGCTTTATTTTTTAAGGTAGGGGGGTCTAGCTTTTTAGTTTTTAGAAAGTATAAACTCACGGCCCTCTTTGGCCAACCTTGCTTCTCTGTGGATACAGCTTCTCGCCCAGAATGCTGCTCACCTCGTCCAGTTTCTCCGTTTGCGACTTGAGTCGCGTCACTGTCGTCCTGAGCTCAGTATTTTCCTCCTCTAACTGTTGCACCCTGAGGAAAGGAGAGAGTCATGAATTTCAGAAATCTGGAATGCAGATTGTCTCACAAGGAAATGGCAGTTTGAAGTGTTTTCTGCCTCCTGGAGAAAATCTATCAGAAACTAACTGAAACAGAGACTTTTTTTTTTTTTTTTTTTGCCAAATGATAACACAGTTTGTGTATCCCTGACCCAGAAACCCAGGAGGCTCCAAAACCTGAAATTGCGTATAATTATTTTCATGCCAGGCATGGTAGTGTGTGACTGTAATTGCAGCAACTCAGGAGGCTGGGATAGGAGGATTGCAAGTTTGAGGTCAGCCTCAGCAACATACTGAGACCGTCTCAAAAGAAAAAAATTTAAAGAAAGGATGTGGCTCAGTGATAAGACACCTCAGTACCCCTAGTCATTTTCAGGCTGTGTGTTTGAGCTACATATGAAACATTTATAGACTTCACATTCAGGCTTGGGTTTAGCCCCAAGATATCTTAGGTATGTGTAAATACTCTAAAATCTGGAAAAAAAGAAAAGAAAAAAGAAATCTGAAACACTCTGGTTCCAAGCATTTCCAATAGGGTGCGCTCCACACACGGAACCCTGAGCTTTCTGCCTGCAGAAGCAAAATAGTAAAGATATTAAGTTGTCACTCTTATTTTTTTTCAATAAAAGGAAACATTCATTTGTGAATAAGAACAAAAGACTCTTTTTGCATGCATCCTTTGAAGACTGAAATATCATAGAGGGCTGTTCTCTGCTAGTTGGAGAGAAGATCTTCCTGGGGCTGGCTGTGACCAGGCCCTATCTGCAGTTTGAAGGCAAGGACCATATTCGCCTTCCTTTCTGACGCCAGTGTATCACCAGGCCTCTCCCCTGAGTGCTCACTGAGGCTGCCCCCTCCGGGCCTTGGTTCTGATGCAATAATCCTGTTAGTATCACAAAGGGCTGTCCTCAAGTGATTCCATGGACAGCCAGGTACTCAGGCAGGGCTCCAACCACTGTCATTTCCTAGAGGGATGGTTTTCTGACCTCCACTTTCCCCCTCTGAGAGCCCTAGGAGAGGCCCCAAGGCCAGGGCCTGAGAGGAATTCAGACCCAGGGAAGGTGGCCGGGAGCTGGTCAAGGCAGGCAGGCAGCAGGCTACAGACTCTGGGAACACCGCCCACACACTGCGTGAACAGCGGCCCCTGGAGTTGTCCAAAGGGCACCAGAGGGAAGGTAGCTGGGGAGGGCAGTGGCTCTCTGTATTTGTCCTCTGGCTCGTGCTCACACTGTCTTCTCCCATGTGTCCCATCCTCTAAAGGGCAAAAAGCAGGCTGAGGAGGCACAGGGGCCCTCAAGGAGACCTCCGGAAACGGAAGCAAACAACTCCTAAAGCCCAAGTTCAAATTTGAAATCCACCCTGGTGACAAGGCTGGTCTCGGCACAGGGGTTCCAGGAAGTCTCCTCTAACTGCTCCAGGGCAGGTGACCCAGTTCCCTTGGGCCTGCCTGGCTGAAGCAGGGGGTGCCCACCCAGGAGCCTCAAGGAACCTCACATGGCCTAACTCCCAGCCACCCCCCCGTCCAGGCTGGGAGTAGCCAACCTGGGAAGGCTCTGCTCAGAGACAGTCCCAGGGTCTGAGGAACATCAAGAGCATCAAAAAGACAGTGTCTTCTCTGCTGGGGCTGAAGGGACCCCAGCCTGTGGGGAAGGAGCCCTCACTGTCCTCATGGCATGCAACAGCCTCCCTGGGGCTCTGGGAAGCAGACATGGGGGAATGACATGTCTAATGGGTGACCAATCAGTCTCCTGTGCCAATGCACCCCTGCCCTATCTGCCTCAGGTTCTGACAGTGAAGCCACATGCATACCCAAGGTGCAGGAGCCCCTACAAAACTGGGACCCTTGTTTTCTAATTCCCTTTGCCCAGGTTCAATCCACCCAAGTAGATTCAGGATCAGAGGCTTTGACAGCAGGGGAGCTCCAAGCCTGAACATCGACCTAGCCTGGGACACCAGGCAGGAAGTTGGGTTTTTTAATGTATTTTTTAAAAAAATATTGCTAAATATTTGCTTCTTTTACCTAATATGAATGATGTTACTATGAAATTTCTTTTGCATACTCCTTAAAGAACAGACCCGGGGGCTGGGGATGTGGCTCAAGCGGTAGCGCGCTCGCCTGGCATGCGTGCGGCCCGGGTTCGATCCTCAGCACCACATACAAACAAAGATGTTGTGTCCGCCGAGAACTAAAAAATAAATATTAAAGATTCTCTCTCTCTCTCTCTCTCCCCCTCCTCTCTCACTCTTTCTTTAAAAAAAAAAAAAAAAAAAAAAAAAGAACAGACCTGTGTGTGTGGGGGGGTGAGGGCTGGGGATTGAACCCAGGGCTTTACACACACGAGGCAAGTACTCCACCACTGAGCTACATCCCCCGCCCTTTTATTATTTATTTATTTATTTTGAGACAGGGTCTTCAAAGTTGCTGAGACTGGCCTTGAACTTGTGGATCTTCCTGCCTCAGCATTCCAAGTTGCTAGGATGCCAGGTGTGCACCCCGTGTCCAGCTTGCCCACGTGTGTTTAAGGCATCAGAAGTAGACCTCTTACAGCAGCAGCTCAGTTTTCCCGACTACACAGTGGGAGGCAGCAGAAGGCAGGGGCACCTGGTGTGGAGCAGCTCCAGCTCCGTGCTCTTCTCCCGCTCCAGCTTGGTGTAGGCTTCACGGTGTCGCCGGGCCTCCTCCTCCAGTGCTTGCTCAGCCATGGTCTCCTGATCCTTTACCATCTCCTCCAGCTCATGCACCCTGGGGCGGGGGAGGGGGCACAGCTCTAGGACCGCAAGCTTCTGGGGCCTGAGGGGTCTCATCCCAACCCGGTTGTTCACAGGGAGAGACCTGACCCTGCCAAATCCCCATACGCCCACCCAGGGAGGGTGGAGTATCTGCTAGGCCTGCCAGCCAGGAAATAAATTAGGACATCTAAAGGGAGGTGAGCTAGTCACATGTGCCAGGGGAAGACCTGGCGTGGGTCTAGAGGGGAGTGACACCACACCTGGGATGGCGGGATGCACACGGTAGCACAGAGAGGAAGTGCCAGCCTGCTCTCAGCTGGATACCGTCTCGGGCCTCCCCTCCTCATTTTTGATCTACTTTCCTGGGCAGTGTCCCTCTGATCAGCAATTCAGGTTACTAGGCACCATGACTTCAAACACAGGCACATCTTGACTAATGCCCCACATATGTCAGACCAAAGGGCCAAGTCCCTGCTATGGACGTTATAACCCACTATGGTGGCGTAGGTGGTATCAGTCTAAGCTGTATCTCACTGGCAATGGTCCCTCCACCAAGCTGACCTCAGGGTGTACACAAGGTAGAGGACTAGACCCTGTGGTATGTCTACCAAGCTTTCTGCATCTGGGGAGGACTACCAAATGCAACATCCGCTTCATCCCAGTCAGTGCTGGGAGCACTAAGCATATGCTCAGTGGCCTCCACCTGGACCCCTCCTGCCAGCTGCCCTCACTGGCCTCTTCCTCTGCAGAGCTTGATCCCAGGAAGGAGCTGGGACTCTGGTCACTGTAAGCAGTGAGGGACAGCAGATCCCAGCTCTGCCCTGGGGCTGCTGGCCTGGCAGAGGGAATCCCTCAGGCCTACAGTCAAGGTCAAGCTCCTCTGCCCCTCAGAGCTGTAAGTTACCGCCATCAGCTTTTCTCGGGGCCTCAGCCACAGGGACAGCCCTGCGGTCCCCAGATCCATGCTCTGGCCTCACCTGTGCACCAGCTGTGTGTTCTCCTGCTTTAGCTTGCTCTTCAGGTCCCCACTGGTCAGGCTGTCATTCTCCAGCTCTGTCACCTTCTTTTCTAGGAAGCTTACCTACAGCAGAGAATAGGAACGGGCTAGAGAAGACCTTGGAGGCCACAGGACTGAGAACCTAGAAAGTCCATGACCAAGACCTTCAAATGGCAGTGCATGAGAAAAGTGGTCATGTTGAGTGAGGATGACACTGAGGGGCCCACGTGCCTGTCACCCCTACCCCTAGCTCTTGGACAAGGTACAGGGTCATCTGAGTCCCCAGCTGGCAGCCCAAAGTACTCCCCACTACCCCCGGGAACATGCACACACTGACTCCCTTCCTTCTCCACCTGCCCAGGGCCCACCTTCTCCGTGATGTCATTGTCACAGGAGTCAATGCTGTCCCGGAACAGGTCCTCAGTGCTGCCGTTACTGCTGCTGAAGTTACTGTTGTGCATGAGCTGCCTGCAGGGGTGGGTGATGGATTGTGGCTGCAGGGGCCCTCCAGAGGTGGGGTCCAGACGCAGGCTACAGGCTGGGGGAACCTGCTGTACCCTAGCGGCCCCAACAAGGAGGCCGCCCTCCCTCAGCCAGTGGGGGAGAGCATCGCCTGCTCTGAGGCTGGTGGAGGGGCTGCTAGCAGCCATGGCCCATCGACAACTGCTCTTTCCCGCCACCTCCAAACCCTCTTCACAGCAGCATCCAGCCAACAGCTACCAAATAGCCAGGACTGGCCTACGAGGCCCCTTTCTTCTGGTTAGAAAGCTGCAATAGAGGGAGCCTGGCTCCACAGGCCAGCACAGGGCCTGACCTCCTGCGGCTGCCCAGTCGGGCTCGGCCCCCTCCACCGAGATGGCTCCTGCCACCTCTCAGGGAACTCTGGAGGAAGGTGCAGGAGGGATCCAGCATGCTTTACTGGCACTGGGTTGAGGATGAGGCTGGAAATAGGTGGACATTTACAGAGGTCATCCTTAGAAAATTTCAGCTGCCATCCTCTAATGACATCCCCTGCCCTACTCCCTCACAGGCAGCAGCCAGGGTCTGTACCAAGAGGCCATCCCACCCAGAACTGAGCCAGAGCCTGGGTGCTGGCAGCTGATATCCTGGCACAGACCTGGGCCAGGCTACAGGAGCATGGCACAGGACCCCAGGGGCAGCAGGGCAGCTGCGCAGGACTCACTGCATCTCTGCCAGCAAGAACCCAGGGTCTCTTTTGTATGAAGGGCACGACAACTGTGGGGTCACTGTCTCAGGGCATCCCTACCAAGTCCACACAAGGCCGAGGCAGTCAAAGGTGTGACGACACTGACCGAAACCAAGAGGGGACCAAGGGAAGAATGAGGGCGAGGAAGGGCATGCACTTCTTTCTGAGAAGCAGGCCTCTGGCTGCTCTGCTACAGGGCCCTGGGCACCCTCACACCCCTCTACTCATTCAGCCACCCACAGGACCCTGGCTGAGTCTGGGCTGCTGGCACAGAGACCTGGCCCCCAGGCAGCAATAACATAGTTAAGGGGGAGAGCTCTCAACTCATTGTCCTCCAAGGAGTCCTTACCGTCCAAAGGCAGTGCTAGAGATTTTTCGGTTGGGGCTGGAGAGAGAGAAAGAGAGAGAAGAAACAGTCACTGACCAGTGTCTGGTCCATTCCTTTACTCCACCTATTACAAGACACCAACATGCAGAATGAGGCTTGTCCCTCCACTAAAGGGATTTTGCATGTCCACTTGGCCCCAAGAAAAAACAGTTTGACTTCCTGTTGCAGGAAAAGCCCCCAGGATCAGCCCTGCTCTGAGTGTCCTCTGATCTACTAAGACAGAGTGGACTGCCCTGCCCAGGACTCCTGCCTCCAGGCGCCACCTGGCCTCCCACCACCTCTGGGCTGTGGGCCTCACCTGTTGGCCTTCAGGTTTTTCAGCCGGGCTTCCAAGTCATTCAGCAGGTTGATCTTCTTGCAGCACTGAGAGCAGTACACATCCAGCAGCTCGCTGTTGTACGTGTGCCGCATCTTCCTCGGTGTCTGCCCCGCACTGATCCAGGGGAGGGAGGAAATCACCTTCTTAGCTGTCAGGCTGTGCCCTGTCCCTGCTGCTGAGCTCACTTCATTTGGTTCCCAAGATTTATAAACTTTGTAGAGCAGGGCAGAGAGTGGGAATAAAGCAACCGAGCATCCCTTCACCAACAAGCTCAAAGAGAAGCGGCCGGTGAGATGCACCCACTTAATAAGCACAGCACACCAAGAGGGAATGTCAGAGGAAGTAATGACTCAGGTGGGGGGAAGCGATCATGGAAGGAGGTTCTAGAAGCAAGATGACACAGACACCCCTGTCAGGGCCTGTGGCCTTCCAGCTTAGTTAACTGTTTCTTTGCTAAGATGGAAGGAGGGAGGAAGAACTCCAATCTCCCAATCGGGGTGCAAAGGCAGCACCCCCAAGCCCCAGGTCAGAGGGCAGGATGGTCATTTCAGGACTCTGCCTATCTGATCTCCTAGGATGAGGCTGGATTGGTTCTGCCATTTTTTTTTTTCTGAGCCCCCAATATCATCCCAGACCAAGGAGCCACCTGGAAGACACCGAAGACCCCAGGTCCGAGTAGACGTTGGTCCTGGTCTCATCATCGGGGCAGGGGCTGCTGGGGGCACAGTCCACGTCATCCCCCTCCCCGTAGTCTTCAAACTGCTCCTCGTTGCTGATGAGTGAGGCGGTGGAATGTGTGGAGAGGTCTGATGTCGTCATGGATGGAGTGTGGACCAGGGACCTGGGGGCCACAGCATCTGTGTTAGTGAAGGACTGAGGGGTCCCACCTATAGCTCCTAGTGGGGGAGACAGGCCAGGCCTTCGGCACTACAGACAGTGAGAATCTCATCCAGTTTGCATCTTTTGACTTTGGGACCCCATCCCAAAGGGAACATCTCACCATAGAAACTTTCTGCAAGACACAATGCAAACTGAGTAGCAAAACATTGGTTACTACTTGAGCAGTTTAACTCAATTAAAATATAATTATAGTTATTAAACTAGAACATACATTAGTAAATCAAACATTAAGTAATGGAATATAAAATGATTGTTGAAACCTTCATAAAAATATTGGCAATAATCTAAGGAAATGAATATAAATAAAGTTAGTTACAAATTTTGAGACATTTTTAAAGACTGAGTACATAAGCTACATGCAGTGGCCCATGCCTGCAATCCCAGTGACTTGGGAGGCTGTGGCAGGAGGGTTGTAAGTTTGAGGTCAGCCTCAGCTACTTAGTGAAGTTCTGTCTCAAAACAGAAAATAAAAGGGCTGGGGGTGTAGCTTAGTGGTAAAGTGCCCCCAGGTTCAATCTTCAGTATTCAATAAAAAGAAGAAGAAGAAGACCGAGTATGTCAAAGGTCTATACAGAAGGAGGAAGCATAGGAAATAAAAACACTGACATGGTAACAGGACTCGGGTTTAGGGTCATTGCTTATTTTTCCTCATTCTTGCTTTTCCTACCTTTTCCAAGTTTTGCTTAATTGGCATGCACACCTTTTAAAATGAAATGATAGATAGCAATAAGCTATTAGGTAAGAAGTGTCTCCTGCTTTAGAGAGGAGACTTCCAGTTCAAAGATGTTTAATCAAAAAACAAAACAAAACAAAAAAACAAACCACAGGTCAGAGCCTCCAAGGGGAACCCACGGTATGTCCTGTGACATATCAGGGCCTGGCTGGCCCCATCTATCACCCAACAACAGAGAGTGGTCCAGCGCATCCCCTGTGGTCACTCTGCGGTAATTTCCCTACACCATCACTCAGACATCATGATTTCCCTGAGCTCCCCGAGCCTCCACTCAAAAATGGGGAACCTGAACTAGGGAAAGAATCTTGTAATCATGGGTTAAAGCAGCAATTCTCAAACCATACCCCCAGGAACCCCAGTTTCTATCTAAGGAGCCGGGTTAATGATAGGGTGAGTAAAGATCGCATTTCCTGGCACCTCGCCCCATTTTTTGTTTAGTTATTTATTCAAAAGCCTGTCTTTGGGCTCCTAGGCACTTCGGTTGAATTAACCGCATTGCTCAGTTCTTTCCTTATAAATTTGACTGAAATTCTTGGCAGCCAGGGCTGGCTGGCCTCTTGGTCATTAGTCCCAGAAAACAATGGTGCCAAATGGCAGATGACCGGCTACCAGATTGATAGTTCTGTGGGCCTCGGCCATTTGTTCTGGGGTGGACTGGTCACAGGTGTAGTTGATGTAGTCCCAGCCACCATGGACTCTTCTCAGTAGACAGACCACGTGGAAGGGGCCCCCCAGGGCATCGTGACTCTCTGAGCACTGGGGGGGGGGGGAGTGTTAGGCTGAACCACCTTTTGGAAGGTGGAAAAACTGAGGAAAAGCTGGCAATTTCGTGTGGTTTAGCCAACACTGGAACACCCTTCCCCTGCCCTCTCTTAAATATCTGAGTTGCCCTGTCACTTTCTTCCAATACCTGGGTCACCACTCCTAATTGCTGTGGCCCCTCAGCCAGGTGGTGGCTGCATCCCCTCACCCCACAAGCACTGTATCCCTCCAGAGATTTCAGGAGAGCTGAAATGGAAGACTCCCTTCTGCCGATACCACACGAACAGATCAGGGCCTGGCCGACCCCATCCACCACCTACTAACAAAGAGAGGTCAACGCATCACCTCTGACTAAGTCTTCCCTTTAGTTACGACGTAGTAATTTCTCTCTATTATTATTCTGGGAAGTCACTAGGTCTTCCCTCTCCTCCTGCAGTGCTGGGGATTGAACCCAGGGCCTGAGCATGCCAGGCAAGTGCTTTACCACTAAGCTATATCCCCAGCTCTACTTAGGTATTCATACTGTTTTTTAAACAATTCTGATGAAAGAGTATGTGTCCCCTCTCATTAAGCAGTCATTAAAACTGACTTGGCACAGCTGCCTGAAATTCCAGAACTCTTCCTACTGTCAGGCATCGAGGCTGCTTAGAACTTCCCGCGGTACAGAACCCGCAGAGAAGGAACGCCGGGGATGCGATCTTTAGCGTCCCACGTGCTCTCTCTGGAAAGGCCTTTCAATAACTGCATTTCTGGGCACATACCGAGCTCCATCAGTTTTCACTCACTTGTCCTCTGGCAGAAACAGGCCCCCGAGACCCCGCTCCTTGTCCTCGGCGGGACTCCCGACAGACCCCTCCAGGCTCTGGGTGCTTTCCATGGGGCTGTCCAGATCTGACTCCAGGGAGCCCTCAGCTGGGGCCAGTGTCATCATAGGCTCCTCCTCGTCCTCGGGAAAGATGCTGGGCTCCCTGGGGATGAGCTCGCCATCAGCAAAGGTGGAGCCGGGGACCTCAATGTCCTGGGAAAGACAGGGGGACAGAATGACTGGGGGCAGGAGATCACTGGAACTTGGCACGCCTCATCCAATTTCAAGGGCATCAACAGGGCCAGGGACAGTGGAGACTGCCGTTTGGGAGGACCCAGACCCCAAGACCACAAGTGTGAGAATGCCTGGCAGGAAGACTAGTTTGGGGCTTCTCATGCTGGACCACTCGTGAGAGTCCAGTGAGGAGCTAGACCTCCCAGGGACAGCCATCCATGGAGAAGGGCCACAGCTAGGCTGGTCACATCACTCAGAACACCTGTTGGCATGCTGGAGCCCTCCTCACAAAGTCTGCACAGGAAGCCAAATGACAGAGCAGGCTCCTTGGTGATCTACACTGGGGACGTGTCCACACTGAACACTGAATGGCCTTCAAGACTACCCTGACCTCACAGAGTTTGACGCAGCACGGTACAGGGAAGTCTGCACAGCTTGGGATCCACCCTCCATGATTCTGGGCATGTCACAGAAACTCAATCCTCCTCTGTAAAGCAAGAATGGCAATGAAGTCTCACAGAACTACTGTGGCCACTGCATGAGGTCTTTTGTGTTAGCCTTTGGCACTCAGCAGGCCCTTGATAAATAAATTCTGGCCAGAGGGCATGATGCCAGTCCAGGAGATAAGTGCCTGCCTTGGCCCTGCCACAGCCACACTGGGGAGTGAGAACACCAGGCCTTTCACTTCTGAGTTCTGGGCCAGACCCGCCCATGCTGATCCAGGGCCGAGCACAGCACCCTGCACAAGGTAGGTGTGCAATAAAGATCTGCCTAGGTCTTCTGCTGAGGTTACCTCCTAAGAAGAGCTTTGGCTTTGTCAGAGTGGACGCTCATACGAGGAGCAGCTCTCTGTGAGCCACTTCTAGGGATCACTTTGCTTCTGAGGAGGTAGGTACCTTCCAGGTGGCTCTGCTTTTACCTATTCCCATGGGGATGCAAACCTGTTCCCAAGGTTCTACCGTGTGCTCCTAGGCAAGGGCTGACAGAACGCTCTATTAAAAGTGTTTTCTCCTCAACACAAGATTGCAAGATGGGTACCGGAAACAAGGGCTACAAAAAGTCTCCAGTAGTCTCAGACAAGCACAGGTTCCAGGAATCTGTGCAAACCACATGGAGACAGACCTCCAGGGTGCTGAAACCCACCAGGAGACTCCTGAGCTGGGAATAGGAGGTGATTAATGAGCTTTGCTCCTGCCTGGACCATGACTTGGAGTGAGCACCAGATGGACCAATAAAGTCGGCACCAGCCACCCTGACTGTGGAGAGCAGGCGGCTGAGTATCAAAATCACCCACAATGTTCACAGGCTGTTTCCACCTGGATGTCACTCATCAGATTCCACATGGCTCCTAGACCCTAAGCAGGCTCGTCATCAGCAAGCACAAAGAGCATCCTGATGGCCTCAAAAGGACACTGACGTTACTGAGCAACCAACTTGCTTCGGAGATGGCGCTGAATTCATATTTTATTCACTGGGGGTTTCCTGACAGCTATTCTGGACAGCTACTGCTATTCCATTTTACTGAGGCTGAAACTGTGGCATAGAGAGTAACTTCCCAGAGTCTTCTGGCCAGTAGGCAGAGGAACACCCCCCACACACACACATCTGGATGCCCAGCACTTGGTTCCATTTGTACTGTTACCCCCACATTTCACAGATTTTCACACCTGGAAGTAACAAGGAGGAAACTGCACTTTAGTTACTAATTCTGACCCCCGGGTGCTCTGCTGGATGTAGCAGCTTCCACATAGGCTCGGGGCCTGGGCTCTTGGGGAGGACAGCTAGTGATCTGTGCCTTGCCCTCAAAAAACCTCAGACTTCCCCTTCCTGTCCACAGTGTGCAAAATCAATAATAGCCAGGAAGGCTACTGTGTGGCTCACAGGAGAGCGTCACCACAGCCCTAGGACTTGGCTTCCTCTCCCCTTTCTGTAGGTGAAGGGTCTTGCCTGGGAAGCAGGGGCTGGGACCTGGAGGTGTGTCACTCTCCCCCCACACACACACATCTGGGGTCCTGAGGCAGAGGTGGCCCACCTGGTTCCCAGAAGGCAAAAGTGTCAGAGGAACCAGGATCCATGCTTCTCAGGTGTCCAGACTGGCCAATGGACAGCTTGGGTTTGGCCCACTGGACAGTCTCACTTAAACACTAACTCATGGTGGCAGGTGGGGACAGCTAGCCCCCTCACCTGATGATGTTCCTCTCACTTCTGGCAGCTGGTCCAAGCTTCTACCCAGGCAGAAAGAGTGACCTCAAGTGGCCTGTCTCAGTCATGGGCCAGGCAGAGGAAGGGGCACTAATGCCCGGCCCTCCCCCAAAAGACCATCTCTTCCTGGGGCAGCTCTTCTTCAACCTTTGCTGAAGCAGAATCCACACCTGCCTGCCCCCCACACCTCACAAAAAGTCCCCTA